AAAAAAAAAAAAAAAAAAAAAATACATTTTATAAGGCTATAGCCGCCACAGTGATTCCTCTCATGGATCTGAGTAAACTGAAAACCTTCTGAAAAGGATTCACCATTTTAGGTACTATTAAAGACATTTGTAATTCATGGGAGAAGATCAGAGTATCAACATTAACAGGAGTTTGGAAGATGAGTCCCACTCCCGTGGATAACTTGGGAGGAGGTCAAGACGTCAGTGGAGGGAGTCACTGCAGGTGTGGTAGAAATAGCAAGAGAGGCCGTGTGTGATGGCTAATACCTGTAATCCCAGCACTTTGGGTGGCTGAGGCAGTAGACTCACTTGAATCTAGGAGTTTGACACTGGCCTGAGCAACATACTGAGACCCCATCTCTGCAAAAATTTTAAAAAGTAGCCGAGTGTGGTGGTGTGCACCTGTGGTCCCAGCTACTTGGTTCTGAGGTGGGAGGATTGCTTGAGCCCAAGAAGTCGAGGCTTTCGTGAACTGGTATGCTGTGATTGTGCCACTGCAGTCCAGCCTGAGCAGCAGAGGTGAGACCCTGCCTTAAAAAAGAAAAAAAGAAATACCAAGAGAACTAGAACTAGTAGTGGAGCCGGAAGATGTCACTGAATTGCTGCAATCTCATGATTAAACTTGAAATGAATGAGGAGTTGCTTCTTAGGAATAAGCAAAGCAAGTGATTTCTTAGATTGACTCTGCCTCTGACGATGCTGTGAACATTGTTGAAATGACAACAAAGGATTTAGAATATTACATAAACCCAATTAATAAAGCAGGGTTAAGGATCGCTCCAATTTTGAAAGTTCTACTGTGGGTAAAATGCTATCATTGCATGCTACAAATAAGTATTTCATTTAAAAAAAACAAATTGCCACAGCCACCCCCAGCCTTCGGCAGCCACCACGTGGATTAGTCAGCAGCCATCCACATGGAGGCAAGACCATCCATCAGCAAAATGATTCTGACTTACTGAACCCTCAGTATCTCTGAGGTATCCCTATAAAGTTTTATTTCCTTGAGTACTAGGGTCTGGATTCTTCATGTTACCATTCTGCTTTTTTCATTTAGCACTGTATAATCATTAGCATTTGGGTGATTTTTGAGAACTTAAATATATTAATACTTTAACTTGAATTTCACTTTTAGGAGGAGTTTGCAAACCAAAGCTGATCAGCAAGTCAAACAGCAGGAAATCTAAATCTCCTATCCCTGGGCAAGGCTACTTAGGAACTGAACGGCCGTCTTCAGTCTCCTCTGTACATTCAGAAGGGGATTACCATAGGCAGACGCCAGGGTGGGCCTGGGAAGACAGGCCCTCTTCAACAGGTAAGGAGCCTGCTTTAACTGTTAGAAAATGAGACAAAGCAACTTATATCAATGTCTTGGTTATTAGTTCTTCAAAATTCAGCAATTTTTCTAATTTGGAAACCTATATTCCATTTCTGTTTAATTAATAGGTTCTACTTTCCAGAATAGAAATGTTTTTTTTGGGTGGTCTTGCTCTGTCACCCAGGCTGGAGTGTAGTGGCATGATCATGGCTCACTGCAGCCTCAACCTCTGAGGTTCAGGTGATCCTCCCACCTGAGCCACCCAAGTAGCTGGGACTACTAGAGGTGTGCACCACCATGCCTGGCTAATTTTTTTTTTTTTTTTTTGGGTAGAGATGAGATCTCACTGTTACCCAGGCTGGTCTTGAACTCCTGAACTCATTCTTCCTGCCTTGGCGTCCCAAAGTGTTAGTATTACAGACATCAACCAATGCATATGCCCAGAATAGAAACTGAATGCACATATAGCCTGAAACATTTTTAGAATGCAAAACCCAGTTACCGTAAACAAAGGAAGAGCTATGAAAAAATAATCTCATCCATTCTCACTTCTGTATTACACTGGTAGTGAACATTTACTATCTGCAAAGCAAACAATGCAGTTTTAAGTTCTTTGAGAACTGTACCTGAATGTACCATGCCATTTCTAAGAGAACTTCGCCTTTCATATTGGCATTCTTAGAAAAAGTTCTTAGGGAAATACTAAGAAATCAAAATTAGAAATGAGAAGACTAGCTTAAAAAGCCATCATCTGGTCTGGTGTGGTGGCTCATGTCTGTTATCCCAGCACTTTGGGAGGCTGAGGCGGGCGGATCACTTGAGGTCAGTGGTTGAGACCAGCCTGGCCAACATGGTGAAACTCTGTCTCTACTAAAAATACAAAAATTAGCCAGGTGCAGTGGTGGGCTCCTGCAATCCCAGCTACTCGGGAGGCTGAGGTGGGAGAATTGCTTGAACCTGGGAGGCGGAGATTGCAGTGAGCTGAGATTGCACTGCTGCACCTGCTTGGGCGACAGACGTCATCTGTCTGTACGTTCACTACATTTACACAAACTGATGAAAAATAATACTCCAGGATACTATGTTCTATTTTGTGCCTATTTGTAAACTTTAAAAAACGTAAAATGACTATCATCATGGTAGCTTTAAAAAGGAACAGACTTTCTGAATAAAACTGGGATACTATGGATTTTAAAGTTTGAGAGAATCATAAGCCTCTTTTCCTTAGGATTAAATACATGTCACTGAAAAAAATCTGAAATGTGCCCTCCCCCTTAAGACATATATAAATTATATCAGGCTTTTGCATTATAAAACTCATGCCACATGCAAAGTGGTTGTGTTTGAATTTGAAAGCTTTCAGCCTAGACCAGTGATTGCTGCTTCTCAAGTCTCTCTTGGGGTTAGTATTATTAGACCATACATGAGATTTACTATTTGATAAAATGGTTATGTTTTATGTTTTGGGGGTTTCTTAAGCTGTAGGAGACTTTCTGGGGACAGTTAAACATCTAGAAACTGATGAAGGGTAGCAGTGTTCATTAATTACCTCATTTCTGTCTTTATACTTTAAAATCTACCTAGTCAGAGTCAGCAGATGACACGCATCCTGCTGCCCCTCAGTCTGCTCAAATTCCTGGCTACTTGTCCTTTGATACTTTTGCATTTCTCCTGAAGAGTTAAGAAAGCTCTTGGTATAACCTGATGCGTGTTTCAATTAGAGCTTAATACTTAATAGGTCCACTTGGATTCTCCATGGAAACACTTGATAGTTATAGACTTAACTAAAAATCTATCCTGGGCTTTCTCTTCTGGGCTAAGCAGCCCTCACCCAGATGCTCCTCGTGTTACTCTTCTTTTTTGGACCCGAACTGATTGCTACGTATCATTGACTAGGATTTAAGTGGTGAGACTTGGGCCTTCTGTGTTGTATTCATTTTGTTTTCATGGTGTCACATGACCATTTTAGAGTAATCCTGCTCCATCCTACAAAAGTTGGATTGGATGAAATAGAAGGTATGCTCACGACAATGAAAACCTAATTTTTCTTTTGTCAGGCTCAACTCAGTTTCCCTATAACCCTTTGACTATGCGGATGCTAAGCAGTACGCCACCAACGCCGATTGCATGTGCTCCGTCTGCTGTGAACCAAGCAGCTCCTCACCAACAGAACAGGATCTGGGAGCGAGAGCCTGCCCCGCTCCTCTCAGCACAGTACGAGACCTTGTCAGACAGTGATGACTGAACTGCACAAAGTGAGAGGAACAGGGTGCAGGAAAGGGATCTCCAGTTTTTGATGGTTTAATTTTTAGTAGCAGGTCAAAAACCTGCCCTCCTATGACTTATGCCCTGAGACTTTTCAGGACAGCCAGCCCACAGATGATGAAGAAATGATGGAAATTTATTTGGAGAGTCAACAAAACAAAAAACAAAAAATACTGCCTTTGATACAGGCAATTCAGTGGACTGTAATAGTGGAGGGTTGAAATGTAGAGTTTTTAAAAAGTGGACAGTTCCTGTTCTTACATCTGTTTGTAAAGAAAACCATAATGTCTTTAAATCACTCTTCTGTAAATAGATTATCTTTTTGCAGTGTATATCCCCTTGCTGTAGTATCTGGTGTACTTATGTTCAAATCAGCGCATCAACTTTGGGGGTGATTTTTAAAAATCTTTTTGTCTATCTTTTTAACCCTAGCCTTCTAAACAACCTCATACAGCCCAGTTACATAATGTTGGCTGTCACGGGCATTGTACTTTTATCTGATTTTGTTTCCTCTAAATTCAGCTTTCCAGTGATGTTTAAAATCTTGTGGAAATGTTTAGATTTTTAACACAGACCCTGTCATAAAATCTGTACATTTGAGTCAAAAGGTAGAGGTAACAAATTCTGCCATATTGTAAATTTCCAGTGCAGGCTTTACTTTTTTTTTCCATTAGTAGCACTGAAAAAATATTACTGCATGGGTATGTTCTAGTTCAGTTTATAAAGTTTTAAAAGCTTATTTGAGGCATACCTCACTGTTATGCACACTGGTAATTTAACCATGCCCCTAAGTATTCCTTTTCTCCTGCATTTGATGCAGCCCAACAAAGCTTTTGTTTTGAAATAAATTTGACTACCCTGTCCATAGCTATAGTAGATTATTTGTGGTTTAAGGCTCCTGGTGTCTCAGGTTCCAAAGAAAAAGCTTACGTATTTTTCCCTTAGTTTGCTATGATTGGTCAAGTTAAAAGATAATGATCTATGTAGTATTTAGATGTGCTTTGTGCTGCATCCTGAAAAACTCATGGTGAACTCAGCCCTTTTCCACATTGCTCCGGATCAGCGCTTACTTTCACTTTGCTTCCTTGGGACAAGAGTTTACTGCTAAATGTTTCATATCACAGATTCTCAAGGTGCAAATAATTTAAAAGATGGAATTCTAAACTAATTACGGTACTAGAGGGCCAGTTTTATCTTTAAGAATTGCTTGCTGAATTTTAAAGTTTTTTTCATACAATTTATCATAGCATTTAAGTACCTTTCCATAACATACAGATACTAACAGTTTTGGGAGAATGCCACTGGCAACTGGAAAGGGGAGAAATAGATCTCTCAGGATGATAAAAATTAGCACTTTACAGACTTTTAAGTAGACCTAAACTTTTAAAGAAAAGTACTCAAAGCTTTTAAGGAAGCAGCTCTATGATTAGCTGCTGACCAAGACCCTCCTATCACTGGTATCTAATCCCTATGTTGGGATGAAGACACAGGCTTAGTACTTTGCCCATGTAGTTAAACTAGTGACAGAGATAGGCCATAAGCTCACATTTGTCTTCAGTGAAATCTTTCATTTCTGTCCCTGTCCCACTCCGGTATACCTGAGGTCTCTAGCATAAACTTTAGATCAGGCTTAGTGCTCAGCATTCCTATTACTTGGAAAGTTGGTATTATTTTTACAATAGGTATATGTAAACACATAAAAATTTCAATATGAATGAGAAACAATGACTAAATGTTCCACTTTACAGTTTTCTGATGGATTTTTTTTGAGGTACTGGTAATATTTTAGAGTTTGTTAATAATTTATATTGCCAACCTACCATAAAAGAGATTATGATGGTATTTTTCTATGACCCTGAGGGTCTTAAGGTATTCGGAGTGAGAATGCAGTTGACCCTTGAACAACATGGGTTTGAACTGTGTGGGGCCACTATACATGGATTTTCTTCCACCTCTGCCACCCGAGAGAGCAAGACCAACCCCTTCTCTTCCTCGGCCTACTCAACATGAAGATGATGAGGATGAAGACCTTCATGATGATCTACTTCCACTTAATGAATAGTAAATATATTTTCTCTTCCTTATAATCTTCCTAATAACATTTTCTCTTCTCTAGCTTACTTTATTGTAAGAATATAGCATATAATACATACACAAAATATGTGTCAATCGACTATGTTATCCGTAAGCCTTCTGGTCAACAGTAGACATTAAGTTTTGTAAGAGACAAAGTTAGATGTGGATTTCTGACTACTTAGGGGGTCCATGACCCTAATTCCTGCATTGTTTGAAGGTCAACTGTATAGTTTCTGAGAACATGTCAGATCAGAGCCTAACTTGTCACTCTTGCAGTTCCACTTGAGGACCTGAAGGTGAGCTGCTGTGAACCACCTACTCTATCCTCATCATGATGCATGTGCGTATTACTTTATTTACCATCACCTGGAGAAGAAATCTCAGAATGAGAGTTAAAATCCAATAACAGTTCTTGGTTCCAAAAACAAAAAAAAATGAAAGGACCAAATTCTCACATGGCTTACCTGTGGAGGTTCACCTTATCACGATCTAAGTGGTAAGCACAGCATGGAGCAGTACCTGACAACTTACTGAAGTTCACTGCAAACCAAGGCCTGATATTTGTAGGCTTAGATTTCAGTGCTGTGACACTATATCCTTACATGTGAGTTTTTTTAACCCTCAGAACTAAAGTCTTCCAAGTACGCTTCATAGAAATATTCTGACAGCCAATTTTATAGTGCATATTTATGACTGGAAATTTCATAATGCTTTAATCTTTGTACACTGATTCTATTTTTAAAACTGAAAAACTCCACTGACCATTGGACAGTCCAAAAATTTAGTCATATAATTTTAACCAATTCACTTTTGAATTTGGACCAGTCAGTAAAGGAGATCAGTCCTCCCTTTGCTTCAGTACCTTATTTTACAACAGTGTAAATGAACTGTAATGAGAACACCCACAAGAAGAGACTGTCCTGAAAACTCCTAGTGTTTCCAACAACCGGACCATGAACTTAATTACTGTGGATGATTTAAAACAAATAAATAAATAAATAAAACTTGCAATGAAAAACCTTTCAGTAACCCCTGCAAATTGTGAAAAAGTAAAAACATTCTCAATGCAAAAGGTAAGTGGTTGACATTAATTTTTTAAAGAAATCACCATATGTTAATACTGGTTTCTACTGACACTCAGTCTGATTTATATTGTATTTATCTCTCTGAGCTAGACTTGATTAATGGCATTATCTAGGTGGTAAATAATATGAGATTAGACAGAACAAAATTCTAGTTGTAGTCTAATCCCTGAGGATTTGGACCTTAGGTTTCCGGTGTTTTCATTAATTCTTCAGGAAGTTTTTTTTTTGTTTGTTTTGTTTTTTAAGAAATGCAAAGATTACTGGGATACGTACAATATTGTTGTGTAGTCTCGTTTATTACGAAAAGATTCTTCCAGTATGTACATACGAACCAAAAATATCAGTTTATCAGTCCCACTCACATCCCACCCACACAGGCATACCAACAGTTTCAGTATTCCTTCATGGTGCCTAGAAAAACTGTCTTTTCCCTTAGGTAAATGGCTCAAGATATATTTGTACAACTGCTGAGGTAAGAGCATCCACCTGTGTATCTTTACATACTTTTTGCGGCAATGTGATAAGCTCTTTTAGCACAGCAGTCTATTCATTCAAAGTCATCTAATCAAATACCTTCTCCCATGGCTAAGAAAGAATCTCAGTGTTTCCCTACTTCACAGATGAAGATACTGAAATCACAAAAGCAAAAAGGCTAGGACTAAGATCCACGTCAGTAGTTCAACTATACCAGCAGTACACATCAGAATTACAAGAAGTTTTGAAATACACCTGTAGGGCCCTATTCTGACTCAGCCCTGGGTGTGTGTGTCTTTAAAGAGTACTTGAGGTGACTCAGTTGTGTGACTAAGGCTGGGAAGTAGAGTGCTCAGATAACATCGACAAAAGGTTACATCATTCCTTCTAGCCCACCCCTATTTTTAAGTAGTTTTATATAACCAGATACATATGGTTCACTTTTATTTAAATTCAAATAAAATTTGGGTGCTATATACTGTCACATGCCCAATTCCCACTTTAAAATTTTGTGCTGGATGCTGGTAGGAAACTTACTTTTTCTCTTTTATGCATTAAATTCCATTGTGGTGCATGAAACAGATTATAAGAAAAACTCACCATAATCCCCCTTTGCCATGAGAAAGGTAATAATTCTGGTCAGTTTGCCAGATAGTGATAAAGAGAAGAGAGGGCAGGAAATCAGTAGACCACAAACTGATGATAGAAATGCCGGGCTGAATCACCACACCCACAGCCCACAGGAAAGCCAGCCCATATTAATCTACAGTTCTACTTAGACCAGCAGGGACAGCATCTAGTCAATATGTTACAACTGAAACCATTACTTAATAGCAGTCCTGAAAGATCATAATCATTGAGAATGAAAGTCATTTTTCCTAATACAAAAACGGCAGTGTATATAACTCGTCCTTCACTAAGGCAAAATTGAGGAAACCTGAATACCAAAAACGACAGATTTAAGCCATTGATTTGGGTGCCACAGAGACAGGAATAATAGCTATTCTTCTGCATTACTAGACATTATTCTCCCTACACAAAAATGGATTTAGAGCTTGACAATTTAAGTCAAAGGTATACTTTTCCTTGACAGCTCAGCCAACTCTTCCCTGATGTGCTGTATAGAAATTTCATCTCTCTTCAGCTCTGCTTGCTTCAGTGCTTCCTGGTAGATCTCTTTTGCTTGTGTATATCGTTCTAAAACAACCCAGAGAGAAGGGATAGTAAGAAAGTGTATGTTTTCAAGGTGATTCTGAAGAGAGAGCACTAATGAGGCTATAGGGATAATTTACTGCGTGCTTATGAAGTGACAGGCTGGTGCTGCCTCATCTCATCCCCATCTGACAGGCTGGAACTCCACTGAATTCTGTGGAATTTCTAACCGTCCTTTCCAGTATATCCTGGGGTCCTCAATTAGCCAAAGATTTCATGAATGGTGGTGGTATGTGTAATACATCTGTCATCCCAGGTTTCTGAAAATAAGGGACTATCATCGCAAAGTTTTCTGCAGCTTGATGATATTTGACACGCTAGTGCAGGACTGTAGAGGTTTTGTGAATTGAGCACAATCGTACTTCAACCTAATACCTCAGTTTTTTTCTGCCATTATTCAACCAGCCTTTTAATGTATGAGTTTCTTCATTGGCCCTTGCCTTCCCTACACACCATTTCACAAATTTACCAATTCAGTGACATCCCTCCCTTAAAGCAAGTCAGTTAAGTTTCCATTGCTACCTACCTCTGTGCATCAAAACTGCAGCTAGATTACTGAGTACCATGTGTAGCTCAGGATGATTGATCTGTCTTGCCAGATCTGATGCCCTTTGCATATAAATATAGGCCTCATCAAAGCGGCCCTGTGCATCCAGGGTAGTAGCCAGGTCACTCATCAGCACAATCGTCTATATGTAAAAGAAAAAACGTTTTTTCTTTAAAAACATGCCTGCATAGAATGTTAATGTGGAGTTCATCCAACTGTGAATATGTAAGATTTAATCTTTCCTAGCATTCCATAAAAGATGAGAGATGTCAGCCTTTAACAAATTTGTGGGCATTTGTTAATCACATTGTACAGTGGACAATGTTAGTTTGACCTTTTGAGAAATTCAAATCTGGAAATTAGGGAACGGATATACCTTATTCCAACTAATTACCCAATTAGAAGCACCAAATAAAAAACAACAGCAAGAAGCTATATATATGATCCCAGTTAAGGCTGAGCAACTTTGAGAAGCCAGCCCCTTATGGTTTGTTTGCCTCTGGAGCTCCACTGTATTAAGCTGTTCCTGCTGATAACCCTGAGGCTCATCAAAAACAAGAAGTGCAGAATCTATTTAGGAGGATGCCCAGTAAGAGTTTTTTTAATCTGGCTACTATAAGAGGTAGATTTCCATACCTTCTTCCCCACTGATGCCATGCTTTAAGCCCCCTGACACTAGTACTTGGAGATCTGAATTCTGTGCTTGCTTGCTTATTATTCCTCACTCCATTAGGAGACTCTTCATAATAAGTCTTAAATCCCTTTCATGGAGATAATTCATAGCTCAACTTCCCTTTTCTTCCAAAACGTATTACTTGCCCTACCCACATACCCCAGCCTTGGGACACATTCAGTTAAAGTTGTCATACATTGGGAGTAGCAAGCATTCATAGCCAAAGCGATGCACTCCTTACATCTAAGAACTTATTTTGATGGAGGAGAGACCCAAAAAGATGATGATTTCAATTCAATGTGTTTAGTGTTCTAACACAGAGCTTTACACATTATACTTAAATTCTATAATAGCCAATGATTTAAAAGTGTTTTTAATGTGGTCCCTGATTCTTTCCCTCACCTCCTGCCATTTTAACTGGGAGGCAAGGAAGGCAAGGATATTCGTGTATTAAAATGTTCCTCATAAAGATTCTAATGGGGGTATATACAGACCCCACTCTGAAATACTGTGCTGTGTCCTTTGAAGCCTGACCAGTCCTGCCTTGTAGAAAGGTTGCTCTGTTGTGCAAACCATGGCTCATGCACATGTTCTGGACAGACCTAGTAACTGATAACTAGTCCCAAATCTTTTCTGAAACAAGTGGTTGGGGTGAGGGTACTGGTGGTAAGAAAATGAATAGACTGGGGAGCAAGAAGGATCTAGGACCATCTGCTGATTCTGTTCTCAATGAGTGTGACATTTCACACCCGTCAATTTGCAATCTTTGTTTTATATTTCCTCTTCTATGTTTTCCTCCCTTACCTGTGGGTGTCTTTCTCCTTGTATTTCTTCAGAAATCTGCAGAGCTTTTTCATACATCCTTTGTGCCTGTGATGGCTGCTTGGAGAACAGAAGGTAGCGAGCACAGGCGTCTAAGCACATGCCCAGGAGGAGGTGGGTATTGGCTTTCTCTTCCACTAAGGAGAGAAGAGGAATCAGCAAGTCTACCCAAATCGTTGTTACCAGGACCCACAAATATGTCAGCAGACTGGGACCCACATGTCACTTAGGGAACAATGTAGGTGGATTAACATCCAGTTAAATGACATATTCCAGACTAGCTGGAATCATGGAACTTCACCCTACATTTTAAGCAGATTAAGAGTCCACACATCAATTAAAATGTGGAATGTTATTTTTAGTTTGAAACAATATTCAGCAGAAACAAATGAAGATAAAGAAGAATGAGTTAACAACAAAAAGTCTAAGGCCAATGAAAAATCTGCAGGGTATAAGAAAAGCAATGCAGTAAGAAAACAGAACACTCAAAATCCTGAAGTACAAAGTGACAAGCCGAATTTAAAGAATGCAAGGTAAAATTTAAAAAAGCTAATCCATTCAGAAAAGAAGAAGAAAGCTTACAATGACACAGCATCTCTCAACACATTCAAAAATTGACTAAACACCTAATGCCACATTAAAAGAAATGGAAAACATGGATCTAGAGCACAGTAACCTGTATCAACCTGGATAAGACTTCTAAAAGATGATATAAATAATGCAGAAATGGTCATAAGCAAGACTATATGGAAGTTCTGCAAACACTCAGCAGAAGGTTAAGTTCACACAGTAAAAGACTAGAAAAAGAGGTTACCTTAGATAATCTTAGATAACAAATTAGTAGACACCCAAGTTAATATGTTCAGTTGGGTTTATTTACCAGCAAAGCTGTTGTTCATATCAAACCCTTTTCCTTCCATGTTTTCAGTTTTCAGAAATCTGACAAGTGGCATACAGAGTTTAAGGAAGACTATGTTACTAAAATGAGACTTTTTTAATACCTTCCCATTTAGAAAAAAAAGTACAGCTTATTTCTATCACTTAATTTTACATAAATATGCTCTTTGAGACTGAGCAAATCTGCTTTTCAATGTGAAAATAAATATTAAAAGTGTTCTTGGAGTTATTTCTATACAGAACTAACACCAGAATCATCTGAATCATCAGACTCATCTATTTTGGAAAAATCGGATTCATGAAATGAATCTTCAACAACTGTTCAAGAAGGATGTTAACATCACGCACAGGCATGCTATGTTTTCTAGGATTTGACAATTTTCAGCGATCAAGAATTACTGTATTTTGTATATGGAAATACCACTACTAAAAACAGAATGCTATAATTAGAATGATGTCTTTTGTTTCCAAAGTTGATATACTAGAGTGATGTGAAAATGGTAAAAGCGAGATATTTTGTGGCAATGATTAAAAAAGATGTTCAGTAGTATAACAAAAGTACAAGAATAAAGTGACAAACAATTCTAGTGGAAAATTGTTACCCCTGTTCTCACTAAGTAGTGGAGTGGAAGCAAAAGCAGTAAAGTTTTTTAGAGAAAACAATTAATGAGGTACAATTTAGCTACTTAAAATTCATAGCACATTCTGACCACAATAAAAATGAAAACGCTTTTTGAAAAGCAAACTTTTCTAAAAATAAATATTATCTAACTTTTAGAAAACACAAAACCTTTAACTGCCAACAGAAAATTTCATGGATTTAATAAAGTTCCCCCAAAGAGTTCCTTTTCTAGTAATTTACTTAAACATGCTTCTTTGAAATATTAATATAAAAATTGCTAGAAGTTAGACAAGAAAAAAGTTAGGTAGTTTAATAACTGAGAAATATATTGGAATCGTTTATACAGAGCTCCTAAAAGATCATTTGAAACTGAGGCATATTTACTTCTTCAAACATGATTCTCTTTCATAAATTACTTCTGCTCACAGAAAAAGATATACTATTACCTATAGTCAGTCCATGAAGCAAACAGGATTCACTATATAATTTTTTACTCAAAATATTATCAAACGGAACAATCATATATATTAAGGAGATGGCCAAACAGCATTTATTCCAAGAATGTAAGAATGGCTCAACATACTTAATGTATCAAGAGTATCAAACTAGGTTTACATAAATATAGCCTAAAAGGGAATTTGATAAAGTACTGGAGCAATTATATGCATTTACTAACAGTAGCAAAACAGCATCTCTGAATTTACAAAAACTTGAGCATAGATCTCTAACTCTCCCATACCACCTCACTATCAATAGCAATATACGAAGTCTACAAGGGTTTTTGAAACTAGATATTTGTTGCCCAAATTCCAGGAATACCCTGAAATTTCTGCTAAACTGAATCTCTTATTTGTCAACTGACTAGCACTTCCTGATTAGTCTTAATGGTTTTCATGGAGGAAATAAAGCAGGATCTAACCTAACACTATACATGAAACCCATCTGCTTCAAACACCTAGAAATCTTAGAAAAAATACAACACACATTCTTTGCATGCACAGCTGAGCTCCCAAGAGAAGGAAACCCCCAAAGCCAGAAATCAGGAGTAACCCAAAGTGAGATGACACAGCAAAAGCCCAGTTTTTGTTGGTTTTGTAGGATAGTTTGAGTGTCTCTGTAATCCAAGAATTAAAGCTGTGGACTTGTACTAAACAGAAAACGCGATCTGAAGCCAATGCATAAAACCACGATAATTACCATTAAGACCGCAACCCCAGGAAAAGAATATATGTGAAAAAAACTGCACCACTCCATCCTTCACTCCCCCAACCCCCCAACCACAGGCACAGGGAGACGACAAGGAGGCTTGAATGGCCAAGTCTGGGATCTAGATGAGAAAAATGACTACCATGTAAATTTGATATCTAATTTATAACATCCATTTAGGCCAGGAGCTGAGTGCCTGGAAGACACAAAACTACTCTGAAATCTCATTGCATAGCTAAAACTTTGCTGAAGATGAATGTATAATCCAATATTAGTAAACATGACGATTCATCATAAATGAGAATCAGCAGACAGTAAAAAAGCAGGCCTCATCCTCAAGAATTATAGAAAATCAGAACTCCAGTAGTTCTCTTTACTTCTAGTAAGTCAAGCATATTCCACCTCAGAGTCTTATACCTGTAATTGCCCTTTGCCTGTAATTTTCTTCCCTCAAATAGCCACTTGGCCTAGTCTCTCCCATTCACCAGGTTTTCTTACTAACAAGGCCTTCCCTACTCCCTCTATAAGACCGCATACTGCCCCAACATATTCCTGGTATACATATCCCTTCATAAATATCTACATAGCACTTAATTCATCTTTGTACACACCAACTTGCTGGATAGTGCTTACTATGCATCTTTCCCCCACCAGAAATGTGGCTCCATGAGGCAGTGACTTTGTCTTATTTATATCTGTATCTCAGCACCTAGCAGCATATCTAGCATGTAATGGGCACTCAAGTATTTCTGACTGAATCACTGAATGAATGAACAAATAGAAGAAATTAAACACATAACAGGGCTGGGCGTGGTAGCTTACACCTGCAATCCTGTGGTTTGGGAGGCTGAGGCAGAAGGACCACTTTAGCCCAGGAGGTCAAGACCAACCTGGGTAACAGCACAACCTCATCTCTACCAAAAATAAAAAAGAAGAAAAAAAAAATCAGCCAGACACGTTGCCACGTGCCTGTAGTCCTAACTCTTTTGGAGGCTGAGGTGGGAGGATCTTGAGATCAGGAGTTTGAGGCAGCAGTGAGCTGTGATGGTGTCACTGCACTCATTCCAGCCTGGGCAACAAAGGAAGACCCTGTCTCTTGGGGAAAAAACCCATAAAGGTACTGAACTCAATAGGGAAAAATAATGAAACTAAAACTTAATTATAATTACAGATCTAAACATTAGCACCCCATGAATCTATGAAAACTCAATATAGAGATGTCACTACAAATCAAGACGTAAGAAGTACAAACTATGAAGGTAAATATCAAGATTCTGTTAAGATCCAAATTTTTAAACTATGCCAAATGCCCTAATGTGAAAAGACAAGCTACAAGGAGACATGTAACCCACAAAAATATAAAATGACTGAATACGTAACTCTTACAAATCATTAAGAAAGACAACCCCTCAAAAAAATAAGCAAAGGATATGAAGAGCTAATTTTCAGAGCAGGTAATCTGGATAGCCAATAAATACATAAAAAGATATTCTATTTTACCAGTAATCAGAAACATAGTAAAGCCACAATGAAATTTCTTTTCAAATCCAGCAATTATAAAAAAAAATCTGATAACAAAGATATACAGAAAGCATCAAGAACACTAATATACTGCTAGTCAAAATGTAAATGTAAAACCACTTTGATAAGCAATTTGGTTTTTGCTGCTGTTGTTTTTGAGACAGAGTCTTGCTCTGTTGCCTAGGCTGGAGTGATCTCAGCTCACTGCAACCTCTACCTTTCTGGGTTTAGGTGATTCTTGTGCCTCAGCCTCCCAAGTAGTTGGGATTACAGGTACCCACCAACACACCAGGCTAATTTTTGTATTATTATTATTTTTTAAGTAAAGATGGGTTTTCACTATGTTGGCCAGGCTGGTCTCCAACTTCTGAACTCAAGTGTTCTGCCCGCCTCAGCCTCCCAAAGTGCTGGGATTACAGGCATGAGCCACTGTGCCAAGCCTGAGAAGCAGTTTGGTATATGCACCCCGACAACTCCACTTTTATATATATATTCTAGGAAATATCTTACAGGTGTGCACAAAGACACAGGTCCAAAAATGTTCAATGAAGTATGACTTTTAATAGCAAAACATATAGAATAACCCAACAGGTCCGTCAATAGAACTGTGGTATACTTCTACAATGGAATCTATACCATGGTTGTACTGAGGAAATGGCCACCTTTAGCTTGTACCATCCCTTGTGAGAAAAGAAAAAACGTTCAACTTACCCCTCACACCAGTGGATTAATTAGAGGAAGTCACCCTTTAAAGACCGATGCAACTCAGCAGACATGCAGTTTGGCAAACAGGGACTGAGCTGAGAAAACTGCTTTATATCAGCCTGATGTATCTCAACAACAAAATGTTGAGTGACAAAAGCAAACTACAGAAACTACTGTACAGTATGA